AGAAACCACAGTATAACGCAGTGCAAAACAGTATATAAGTGATTAGCAAGGACGAATTTCTTAATTTGGAGAAAAATATATAATTATATAGAATGAAATAATAAATATGCAAGATCTACCGCTAGGCCTTTCTGCCTTCTTGGGTTGTTCAGTCAGACTGAATAGTTCCTATAGATTATAAGTGTGCGGTGTAAACAATATCTATATATTTATAACTATTTGCTTGCAACATTTACTGTACTTCTTAACAGTTTTTTGTATATAAGAGGAGGACATTGACGGCACAACAATATATGATTGAGGAACATTTAAGTCTGTAAATCAAGATAGAAAGAGGTTTTATGTTCACTTACATACATGTAAATAGAAATCACAGAGACAAAAGCTTTATTATTCATTTTACGCTTAAAAAATATATATATTTTAAAGACTAAATATCATATTCCTATGGTTGTATTGCTAAGTGATTTTGGACGGTTTCTTGTATCTTCGAACGATTCATAGAAACATCACGACAGGTCTCTCCAACACCACCAAGAAGTAAAATTCAGATCTAATCAATATAAGGCCATTCCAAACTGATGAGTATTTAACAATATCACAATTTAGACATTGTCACAAAAACAGCGGATCCATCGTATGTAAGCTTCCTTTAGTTTATAAGCGTACCGTGTAAATAACATTTATATACTGATATAAAACAATGCCTTATTTACCCTAATTTTTAGCCTATTTAATAGTTTTGTAGAACTGGCATGTCTGCTGCCATTGCCCAACGGGTGAAAAGCTGAAACAAAACTAACAATTTCAACTAATCAAAGTTTATGTTTTCATAAACTAACAATTTCAAATAATCAAATAGCTTGTTACAAACAATATTTATTCAAATTTAAAGAAAGGTTTTCCTGAAAGAAAAGTTGCATTTGTTTCCCCTTTCGACATATGTTAAACAACTAGAGCGCAAAGACATTACTGTGAAAATCAAAAATACTTGTAAAACTTTGTACTGTACTGGCATGAACTTGTTTATGTAAGTTACGTTTAGTATATGAATGGAAATGTCATACCTTGTTAATGTACATTGTGGGAACTGGTCCTTCTTTGTATATGTAGGAACATGTCCTACTTTGTATATTTAGGAATATGTCATACTTTGTATATTTAGGAACATGTCATACTTTGTATATTTAGGAATATGTCATACTTTGTATATTTAGGAACATGTCATACTTTGTATATTTAGGAATATGTCATACTTTGTATATTTAGGAACATGTCATACTTTGTATATTTAGGAATATGTCATACTTTGTATATTTAGGAACATGTCATACTTTGTATATTTAGGAATATGTCATACTTTGTATATTTAGGAACATGTCATACTTTGTATATTTAGGAATATGTCATACTTTGTATATTCAGTAACATGTCATAGTTTGTATAAGGAGTAGCGCATGTCATACTTTGTACAAGGAGGAACATGTCATACTGTGTATATTTAGGAACATGTCATACTTTGTATAAGGAGGAACATGTCATACTTTTTATATTTAGGAACATGTCATACTTTGTATATTTAGGAACATGTCATACCTTGTATAAGGAGGAACATGTCATACATTGTATATTTAGGAACATGTCATACTTTGTATAAGGAGGAACATGCCATACATTGTATATGAAGGAACCTGTCATACTTTGTTTATACAGTAATGTAAATTAATATGACAGTTTCAATGGTATCACAGCTCATAATGAACTCTTAACTATCTAAACCACATAAGATAACGTAAAAAACATCAATTTATATTTTTCAAACATGAAAACAAAATCAGTGACATATTGTGCAATACTGAAAATATAAGCATATTATAAAATTCAAATAGCATGATGTGAAGCAGGAATGAAAATACAAATAGTGCATTTGGATCAATGGAATAATTATATAACTTATTTTAATCAACAATAAATGAGATATCAATAACAATAAGCTAAAGATTATCACAATGATATAATATATAAATATAAATTCAAAATAAACTTTCAACTGTACAAAACATTTTATTGTCTCTTGGAGACAAAAAAATAAATTGATAAATCATTACAGAACTTATAAAGTCTGAAAATACATCTGAGGGAAACATCTAAAGGATGCACCAACAAAGCTTCACCAAGGCCTTGATATCTAAACACCAAGTACTACCCTATTCCCCTCACTGTAGTACAGTGCAACTATTAAACATATGCAAAATCATTTTGATATTCTGTTGAAAGAGATTCTTAAGAAAAATCATGATTTAACATCGAAAGAATTTGAAAGTTAATGCTGACACTCTCTGCAGATGAAAATGATAAATGCTTCCAATAGACATTGCGAGGTTTTGGTATGGTTGGATTTCACAGTTTTGCAATTGACAAGGTCACATGCCACGAACCTATCTGCAGAAAATTAATTTTAACTACTGTCATAGCCACCATGTAACACAAGTAAAATATTTCTGAAATCTCGATCTGCTTCATCATAATCTGCGAAAGCGTAACTGTTTGAAGGTTAAAGGTACCTCTGCGTCAATCATAATATCACAAATTTCATTCAGAATTCATTTAAATGGAGTGATCTCCCTTCTATAAAGAATGTGAAGCAACACAAAAGGATTTTTTCCCGCTTGGAATAACTACCACTCTCAGTGTTCCCAAGGCCTCGCAACCCATATATAGGACATTTTTTTATACTTTGTAGTTAGAATTCCTGATGACAACATTGATAAAGCATTGGGTCTATAAGAAAAAGGTTCAGAGTTGGCTTGGCCTCCATTGGTTTTTGTGGTTCTATTTTTTTGTATTATTTTTTTCAAACAGTGAAATTTCAAACAACTATAAATCTGTAAAATGCATGCCAGCATGTGATTTTTGTGGTACACTTCTTTCGAAAAGTTTTTACCAAATATTTTACAATTGTGACAGAGGTTATAAGTAATATAGGATCCCTTTACCCTAACATTTACGAGGTGGAATGATATGATCATAATCAAATGTCAATGCCATAAGTTTTAACACTGGCAATAAGAAGACATGATAAAAATTACAGTCAAACCTACTCATGCACCCACCACTTGTGTTAAAAGAACACTTTTAATGTTCCCCACTGAACATTTTCTTTGTGAACTGAACCCGTATTAAGAGACCACTTTTTAGACTTACTATGGTCAGTCTTTTAATACAGGTTTAACTACTGAACATTTATATAACAATACTGTACAAATTATAAATAATACTGTTTAAACTTATTATGTGCGACTACCAAACTCAAAGGCTTTGGCATATTTCATTACATACAAGTCTGTAAAACTATAATACTGTAAAATAAAAATCCTTGTGAGACAGTCAAAGCCAAGAGCATTGAAAATAACAGTAAAACATTCAGTACAATTTTCACAGCTGACATTGCGAGCAAAGATCCATAAGCAAAACCTTTCCAAAATTTTTCCCCCTCGCCAAGACACTTCTTGTACCAGGAAATTTTTAGGTGTGGGAAATATTTTTTTGAAATTTGTTAATGATTCTTCACAAATGTCAGCTTAAAGTTAAATCTGTAAAAGCATCAATAAATATCTTAAAATGGTGATAAAATGATGCATAATATTTAACATCAACTTAAAATTTATTTGTTGTATATATAATAAAATTATATAAATTACATGTCAATAAAAAAGAAGAAAAAAATCAATGCAACCATTAAAAGAGGAAACAGTTATCGCCTGACTAGTCTTTAGGGTCTGTGTTGGCCGAGCGGTAAAGATGTCTAACCATCTAGCCCTCCAGCACTGGGTCGTGGGTTTGAGGCACACGTGGGGCAGTTGCCAGGTACTGGCCACAGGTCGGTGTTTTTTTTTTCTCGGCACTCTGGCCTTCTTCCACCACCCAAACCTGGCATGTCCTTAAATGACCATAGCTGTTATTAAGACGTAAACCAGAAAAAAATAACCCAGACCAATTATCATCTCCCTTTAATGTAGCTAGCTCCTTCATCAAACACCATTGGAATATATTGAGACTTTTTATGGCCCTCATTCATCATACATGTGTATACTGTATACCAAGAAATTTTCGCTGCAGTTTAATTTCCCCCTTTTTTGCCCACCATAACTAGGGCTTATTTGTCATTACAGCGAGCATTTGTATACAACATAATATACATAGTAATTAAATGTGAAGAGCAAATTTATTTAAAAGACGAAAATGGATTTTACCGTCGAAGGGCGAACATTTCCTGTTCTACAGTATTTCCATATTTTGTTGTAAAGCCCTCTATCAAACCCCTTTGGATTACCTTTATTAGATTTCATTATATGGCTAGGCTGTTAATTATCATTACTATTTTGATAACTCTATCGAACCCACTATGTCATAACGCTTATACACTTTTTATCATACCTCTTTAGAATAACTCCATTTGGCCTAGGTGAGACCTTTAGTTTTATCATAACCCTTTGGAACATCTCTATCAGATTTCTGTTATAAGCAAGACTCATTACAATAAATGTATCTTATTTTATTGTACCGTTCAGGAATACTTCTTTTGGAGTTCGGATATCACATTACTACATGTAGACACTTTATCATACCCCTTTAGATAATACTTCTAGAGCAAATATGATAAATACATTATGAGATGATTTTATCATACCAGTATCAGCACTTAGGCCGCCAGCCCTGCAAATACTTATATTGGGGAATAGGGCTGGTGCTGGGATCTCCTGATTATAAAGGAGTTTCGGGATGATAATTATAACAACCTAGTTCGTAGGTGGTCTCAAAACAGTTCACAAATTATGATCCATGGTTATAGGACCTTTTGCAACCAGCCAATATCTTTCTCGACTACCAGGGGAGCATACAACCAGTGCTGCCATTTTGGCGCTCACAGCTAGCATTCAACAATTCTAGCACTGCCCAACACATACTCATTTACAGCTGAGTAGACTGGAACAAGCGGAGCAAAGTATCTTGCTCATAGATACAACACAGTGCCGTGCCATGACCAAACCCGCAACCCTTCGGTCACGAGCCAGGGGCGTCCAACTAGACTACTTTGACTATGGTGCCTCTGTAATAATATAGTATGCCTCGATCAATACTAAGATCATTGTTTAATGTTTAATATGTATCAGACTGATACTGGGATCTCTCTGAGGTCATGATCCAATACCATGTGTGATATGTATCAGACTGATACTGGGATCTCCCCGAGGTCATGATCCAATACCATGTGTGATATGTATCAGACTGATACTGGGATCTCTCTAGGTCATGATCCAATACCATGTGTGATAGGGAAATAGTTTTCTAGTATATAGAGAAAGAATACAAATTAGTAATGTAACTAAATACAAATGAAATCAATACTGTTGATAATTCATACACGGAACCATAAATAATCTGATGTTCTAGAAATCTTGCTTCAACTGGACTTAAAGACAACACCAGTTTTCATGGCACTTTTGGTGAATGTATATTGGGTTTTAAATAGATCACAAGGGAAAAAAAGAAAACAATCTATTGCACCACATAAACTCTATCTTTCACATGTACACTGAGCTTCTAGCAAATGGTCTAACTCTCAAGTGGCTTATTGGAAATGTAGCTAAAATTGTGCATCCTAATGTAAACTCAGAGCAATAATATTTCATGAATGTTTTTCAATATAATTTTGATAAGTCAACAAATGAAAGACGTTTGAAAAGTCTCGGACAACCAATGTATATTTCCAGTTCTCAAATTCATAGCATCAGACATAATGTACATGTATGTCAGAAATCAAATTACAAAATCTTATTTCCCACTATTCTATGAAATATTTACATTACTACAACCTTTCAGCAGTCAACAATTTCAATATTGTGATCCACGATTTTCATTTAAAAATTAAACCATTCCTTCTTTGATGATGGCTGGATAAAATAATGGGTAATCAGTGTCAAAAGATGTCTTAAAGGCAACACAACTTAACCCACCTGAGAGCCGTATCATCTTATAAATAAATGAATTTACTGATACATGTAGTGTATCTATTAAGCAAATAATTTTGAAATTTCCCAGTACAGGTGTATTTATAGTCCAGAGTATCAATTCACAAATGAGCATGAACATCTGCATAGATTAAACTCCTTCAAATATAACAGAATATTAAAGGTTGGATGTATTCTACTTAGCATGCGTTATCAATATTTGCAAAATTATGAAGAGTGCATGATATGTATGATATGTGAGGCCAATACGAATTGACAAACAAGACTGATCAAAATTTCTTTGAGACTGAGTGTAATAACTCAAAACCCTCCAGCACTTATACAGGATATAACTGTTTATCAACACAAGCACCTTTCAATAAACTCCTAATTTTGCTTTTCTCTTGATATGTTTTCCATCTCAATAGAGTTGTCTCCCTTTTTGGAATGCTCAGTATTTTCACCTTCAGTCTTTGAAATGGCAGTAATATAGGAAGGCTTCCGTAAAGATGATCCTTCAGGTTCAGATTGTTCTTGAATACTCCTAGTTAGTGAACAATCAGACAACGGACGAAGGTTATTTGAGTTTGCACCAAGAGACCTTCCGTTGTTCTTTTCATCAATGTCTAATCTAGTTCCGTCAACAGACCTTGTTTTTTTTAATAAGCAACGTTTCTTAGTAAGTCTAGATTTGGGCGAGGATCTTGATGTGACTTTTGACTCTTCATCATCAGCCAAATGTCCATCGTCATTTGATTTTGTAACCGTTGGCTGTGGATGAGTATCTACTATAAAACTATGAGGGGTTGCCTCCCCTTCAACACCTGATACCGGCTGCTCTTCGGTGTTCAGGTTTGTGGCACTATTTTTATCAGGAGATTTTCCTGGGGATGAGGAATCCTCTTCTTCATTTTCTGCGATTACATCAAATTTATGTCCTGTTGAGTTTCTCATTGGACTGCCAGCCGGGATATCAATCTTTGCTCTGCGTATCAAGGGAGACATTTCTTCTTTACCCTCACTTCCTGTTAAAGTGTGAGCTTTTTTGAACATGTGTTGGCGTTTTTGCTGATTCTCGGACACAAAATCGATTCTAATACCCGAATCTCCTTCCCTGAACTGGTTCATCATCTGCAATGATGTAATGTCTGAGGGAGATCGTTCACGCACAAAATTCGATCTCTGAGCTGGAACAGCCAGACTGAGACGGCGACGATAGTTTTGTGTCGCTGCATCAACATTAAAGCTTTTCCCTGGAATCTTCTCAACACTTCCAGGAATCTGTTCCAATCCGGGAAGGTTCCCTGGCATGACGGCACGAGACATTCTTCGAGTCCTCAGCTGTTTCTCCTGAAGACATTTAAGTAAGTCCCCACTACTTTCATTCTTCAGATTCTTGTCCAGTTTTGCAGGAAGCTTAAAAAGAAGATAAATTCAAAAATTATATTAAGTTTTCTTCATTAGCAATTGTGTAACACAAATAAGCGTTAATTTAGATATATACTAAAACCTTGACATGATTTCCCTTATTTCCTGTCTCTTTCACCTACTACCCACATATTTTTGATAGATTGATTCATTAATCTAGCTGCCCCAATAAGTTTCCAAAGCCCCTTAAAATACCTAAATGCTGCACGTTCCATAAAAAGTGGCATTATTGTAGGGCTAAATTGTATATATGAACTCAGGGCTACAAAGGATGACAATTATTTTTAAAAACAATTAATTTAGAAAATGTATATGTCTTACAACCAAGTTCTATGGATCAGTGCTTGTAAAGTATTATAATAAGACTAATTATATATTTAGCAATACATACATCTCTGCGAACAGGAGTCAACATCTTGCGGACATCTTTGACAGTTGGGTTTTCAATGTGTTTCGATTCTCTACGTTTCCCAAATGAAGGCTTGTTTAGAATGTTTGCTAATGTCTCCCTCCTCGATTCAGCTGTAAGAGAAAATGCAAAGTGAGATGAATTCTTCTTGACTGTAAATTATACACTATAAGCCTTAATTCACCCCCTGCCTTTAATCTTTATACCTTTGAGATTCTTCAATTCTGTCCTGCTTATATTCTTACTGACTGCAAGATGATATTGTTGGACTTACCTCCCCTGCGTATCAGCTCTATGTCTGCCTCTCCTTCTCCAAGGTCAAAGGTCAGTGGCATTGGAGGTAAAGAGGGTACGGTAACTGAGGGAAGCACCGTCCCCCCAGAACTGTCACTGTCATATTCTTCATGATAAACACTGATGGTAAGATACAAAAATTAACACCCTTAGTCCATCAACAAAATCAGGAAATCATTAGAGAAACAATAAATAAAAAGTTCCTATCATAATGGATAAGTATGGCCAAGGCCTACCCGATTTGCATTCATCTGTCTGATATGACAACTGGAAATTTAGGAACGACATTTTTAAAATTCTTTAATTTAACAAGTAAATTTCGTTTAATTAATACATTTTTAAGTTTCATAGTATTGGTTCCATTAACAAAATATTTTATATTTGATATTGACCTACCTGTTGAAATAACCCTTACCAAAGTCAGTGCATCACAAAATATTTTATTTGATGATTAGCATTTCTTTCAGTCTAAACTTTGATAAAGTAAAAGTTTCATTCTATTGAACCATTATTTTAATGCATGATGTTTTTCCATTGTGGATTTAAAGATTAGAGTCAGTCAACAGAAAATCTAACCACCAGTAGATTTTATGTAACTTTAAGGTTAGTCGTACTTACGGTTTGTGGAGTAACTGCGATGGAAGAAGAACTTCAGAACTTGCATATTTATCTTGAATCATTTTTGACCCTGCTAAATTTTCAAAGTGCTGTCTGAAAAAAAATTACCAAAAATATCAAGAGTATCAGTGGAACTGATGTATGCTTCCTGAAAACAACTTTATTGGAGACTTTTCCTGTTTTTGAATTTTGCATTTGTTAATTAAGATTTATGACACATATTGGTAAAAATATGTTGAAATGGGGAGTTTGGAAAAGAAAAATAATGTTTTAACCCGTTACATACATGTATATGTGTCTTCTGACACATAGCATATGATTTATGATTCTAGCTTGAATTCAGTACACTGTACATCACCTAAGTGTGACTGATGCACACACCAAGATTCATAGCTTAACTGTAGGCAAAGTTAGGCTCCGGAAAAGACCTTTCTGGAAAGGGCAATAACAAGGGATGTGGGCCCTGAATTTGGTACCATGCATATTGACTTAGTATGACTAATGTATATACCAAGTGAAAGTTTCATGATCCTATCTTAAATGCAGGCAAATTTATGCTCCTGACACGACATTTTAGCAAAGGGCAATAACTCTGTAAATACAGGGATGTGGACTCTAAATTTGGCAGAGTGCACATCATCTTAGTATGAGTGATGTACACACCAAGTTTTATGGTCCTAGCTTAAATGTGGGTAAAGTTATGCTTCGGACACAAAAAGGACGAACGGACGGATAAAGTGGCAACTATATGCTCCCCCAAACATTTTCAGGGAGCATAAAAAGTGAAAACAGTTGAATTCAAGATGAAGTGTAGTGGGTTAGACATTGTTTAATTTTAATTGTAGTTCAATATTATCTGTAAGATGGGCAGATTGGTTGAGTGGTTAACACTCCGGCCTTCCAGGCAGGCAGCCAGGGTTCCATCCTCAAAGTCCTCGCACGCATTGAATATTAGGAGAAAGTGTTTTTCTCCTGCCAACACAACTCCAACAACCCTGGTGAAGTATAAAATTGTTTGGGGTGGATGTTACGGTATCCGTGCTGTAGCATGCAAGTGAGGTGGCACTATAAATGATGCCGTTGGAAGCACGGTCCCACTACCAAAAGAACACAATACATCTCCAGCACATATGCAGGCGTACATGCATAGGGAGATATTAGCCAGGTGACATCAGACTAGTAGTTAGCGCCTGATAAGGCAGCTCCTGCGAATTCCTCAAAAATTGTATTGATTCATGAATATGCTAATTGTATTAATTGTATATCAATGAACTGTAAAGCGCTTTAGAGTGGCTTATGTTAGCTAGATAAGGCGCGCGCTATATCAAATGTTGCAAATTATTATTATTATTAAGATACTTACTGTAATGCAATTTGTTCAAACATGAACATGATGTGTTCGTCCATACTGACAGGATCCCTCTGTAGCCACAGGTTCAGATACTTTCTGTTGTAGTGTTCCAGGATTTCCTGGGGACACCAAAACACAATTAAACCCCTTACCCTGCCACTTCATGACCATTTGTGGAAGTTTTGTGAGCTTCCGTACTGTATTTATGCATTTGTTTTACGTTTTTATATAAATCTATTCTGAATACCTAAAATTTGTGTAAAACTGCATATTTTTACACACTAGCATGAAAATATGTCACGCATGTATAGTTTTGCTAAATTCTGTGTCTTTTGCGTAAATTGTCAATTCTAAACTTGCGTAAATATTGCATAGTTTTCAATGCATATAAAATTGTAGATAAAATGCAGAATGATGCACTCCATGCGTAAAATGAAGGTAAGGGAACTCATAGAGAAACACGTTAAATCTACCCTTACTACATACCTACCAGTCACCTGCATCTGCGCACGCACAGGTCAACCTGCAAATGACCTCTATGATCTGTATAGATTACAGTGTGTTTTGGAATATCCTGCAGCATTATCATGGCTTCATGCAAGTTGGATATAGAAATACTAACCCTGAAGTAGTGCTCCCCTCTCTCACCGATCACCTCCTCTATACCCGCCATTATATGGTCTGAAACCTGTAAAATAGCAAACAAAATTATTTGAAATAGGTACTCTTCTTAATATTTTGTTATTTGAAACTCTTGAATGTATTTTAATGAAAACTGGTGTTTCTGTTTGTATTGTATTGGTTAGTCATTATAAATACAGGATCTACACAAATGGTTGTTTAAAAGGTATAGACCATGTTTATAATTAAATGGTGTCCATTAAATGTGATTGTGTAACGGAAATTGAAAACTTAATCAAAACTTGTGGTTAAAATTTAAACATTTTTTTCTCTGCAATATTACGATGTTACATGTTCTAATAGCGCTGCAATGATACAATACTTATAATCGAATAATGCTTACGTGCAATACACATCATGATACAGATATTATGATGCTCAAAAGGTTAACTTCATAATGATTGCAGGATTTTACTGGGTTTTGTCAAAGACTTGAAAAGTAAATACTGTCAAAATATTTTTTGTATGATTTTTAGTACTTTTTTACACAGTGGAACATATCTTTACTGAAGGATTGTATAACAATAAATAAAATCTTAGTTTAAAAAAAAAAAAAGAGTTTAATTTTAGTTTCCTTCATAAAATTAAAACCGATACGTAAGAAAGGATCACGATGCAATATGGTGTACAATATACCATTGCAGTCCTACTCACTAAATGTTTGTCCTGTCATACCTGCATGTTGATCTCCTCACTAATGATAAGAAGCTTGTCATTCTCTTGAAGTTTGACTCGTAGAATCTTGACGAGCGGTTTAATGGTGATCCCCTGTACAATAAACACAACATAAGGTGATAACGAGGCTCTCATTTTATTACCGGTGTATATGATCATGAACCAGTTAAGTTATGACTGCAGATACACACTCTGATCATTTCTAGTAAGGAATAACTTTGTAAGAGTTGTGTCCCCTGCTCCAGCAGACAAAATTCAGCACATCAACATGTGATGTTATTTATTCGCCCAAAGAAGGATGATCTATGAAAGTTTAAAGTGAATCAAGTGATGTGTTTCCTTGCTATAAGGCAATTTGTGTAAAACTCGCTTTTACTAGCATATCGATCACGCTTTGAAGTTACTTTCAACGACTTGATATCAACAGTGTGATATGTCTGAATCATATTATTATAGGCAAGTTTACACGACTGAAGTTGCATAAAGATAGATTACAAATTATTGAAATTTTGGGTTTTGTCACTTATATAACAACGTGAAATTAACATGACAAGGCTGAGCTTCAATACCTGTTACAGTATATAGCATATATATATATATATATATGTAAAAAAATGTTTTTCGTCATGCATCTGTTAGGACCTATACAGATCACATGGGTTTGGTGAGAAATTAGAAAAAAATAAAAAAAAATTCAATCTTGCGCAAATCACAGTCCAGTTTTCATCATATAAATGTACTTGGGATATATGGAAATGGTAATGAATTAGTTCAATATGATTGTTTGTTCAAAAACAGATACAATTTTGCAATATCTATTCAATATATTAGTAGAAACATTTTGATTTAGAAATAGGTATAATTTATTCTGCAAGCTCTGTGATATGGGGTCGTCACTTTGCCGAATTGTAGTGAGAATATTCACACATAGTCACAAACATCATGTAACTGTGCTCTGACTACGGCCTCCCTTCAGCCGAAACATGTCAGCACGTAGGATGTATTAATCAAACATTACATTTTGTACCGGTTTCAGTGGTGTTATTGCTCATTTCTTTTTTCATTTGCTCTGCTTTCCCTGATGAGCACTGTTGAATACCATTAAGGTGTCCACCCCAGGATCCCTACCGCTACTATGAAACTGACTTCCTTGCAGAGAGGTTGGGTCTGCACCCCCCAGTTGTAACAGTCACAGGGTATTTTGCCTTCATGGTTGTTTACTGTCTTGGAGGAGTGAGGTATGTAGCGGAAGTTGTTGATTGCAGTTACCAAATTGAAGCAGCTCAGTTACAGAACCCAGAGCCACTTTTACAGAAAAACCTGAAACTAACGTACACAGTTAAGTTTATGTGTATTTCATTACAAAGACATACCTGTAAGAATACTGTGAAGAAGATGAGACAGAGTGTTGCCGTGGTGAACATGTCTTTAGGAAGTCCGTCATATTCTAGAAGGTTGACCAATGAGAAGGCAACAGCTCCACGTAAACCTCCATAGGCCTATTGGCAGAAAATAACAATACAAACAAACGATTACAATCGAGGCTCTGTTTATGGACAATGTGTTACACTTATAATACCAGAACTATAACACTTCAATGATTTACATGTATTGAAAACTGGCTGTATGTGTCCATACTGTACGCTAGCAGTCGTGGAACAGTGAATGCTGTACAGCTAGCAGTCGTGGAACAGCCAATGCTGTAAAGTTAGCAGTCGTGGAACAGTGAATGCTGTACACAAGCAGTCGTGGAACAGTGAATGCTGTACAGTTAGCAGTCATGGAACAGCGAATGCTGTACAGTTAGCAGTCGTGGAACAGTGAATGCTGTACACTAACAGTCGTGGAACAGTGAATGCTGTACACTAGCAGTCGTGGAACAGTGAATGCTGAACACTAGCAGTCGTGGAACAGTGAATGCTGTACACTAGCAGTCGTGGAACAGTGAATGCTGTACACAAGCAGTCGTGGAACAGTGAATGCTGTACAACATGCAGCTACAGTGTACGTCATTGACATAGACATAAAAATACTGCACATATATGTAGCCAAATTGGACTGGGTTGATTGTCGCAGTTAGATCAATTGGATGAGCGTTCTTGAGTTCAGGGGTCCTAGGTTTGAACTCCGGTCTGGTCCAGCTTTTTTTCTGTTGCTATATAGGCCCTTGACATGGACACACTTTAATTTTTTACAGAATACTGACTGGCTGAGAGTTTTATGCATAAACTAGAAGTTTGTTATCACTGCCTCCTATATTCACTTAATTACAAGAAATTTGCCTTTTATTTGATTTTATGGAGCACTATACCAGATTTCCCAGTTCAGCATCTATCAAGCCCTACATCCAAGTGAAAGGACAGTGGATACCATCTATCAGATCATTTTAATTTGTCAAACATTATCAGTCTACAAAATTGTATTCCACTTGCCATACAAACTAGTAACTTTTTAAAATTATTAAATGATTATACAAAGCATGACATAATTTCTAAAGTGATACAAACTTACAGAAGTAATTAAAATTTCAGCGACAATATTAGACATAAGAATGTGAAGAACAAATAATCTGTTGTACGTTCTATCATTTTTTGAGTAAATCTGTGGCGGTATACCATGATAAACTGTTCCTCCCTGTCGATTCTTCTCATACGATTCGTCTTGTTCACAAAGTAGGTCAGCACAAACACAACTGAAACATGAACGGTTACTGTAATCATTGGCAACCTCAAGGGTTTTGTTTTCTCTCATTCAAATAATTGACACAAAAATCAGAATTTTAGTACATGTAGAAACTTCTGCAACTTTTATTACATTCTGGAGTTTTGTTCAACTCCCTTTATGGATATATGACCCCTGAAATAGCTTTTGACCTCCAAAATGCAAGAGGCTTGCCATATAATGGGTTCTAATACATGATTAATGTTTATTTTCATCCCCAACAATGACTTGTATGTATGGCTTTTTGGAAAAACATGCAATTTTGAAGAAAAAACCCATCAGAGTACTGCAAGGATGAAACAAAACATTTCTGCCCCATGGCAAAATCCTTCTGATGCATCCTTGTAGTAAAATCTATGAAAACACATAAGAAAGGCAAGTTAAACTGCCAACCATCTGATGATGATATCCACTTCAAAGGTCCTTGTCATTATTTGTTAGCATTACAGGGACCTTACCTGGTAAAGGTAATTGACACAGTTCATGTCATTTTCTTGTAATACAAAGGACATTCCTATTGTCTATGAACTGTATCTTAACTCCAGCTTACCCAGGAACCTATAGAGAAGGCACAAGAGGAGGGTCCATAGAATGAAGCCAGGATGCCAGTTGTTGCCATCAAACAGGTTTGGTTTAAACAGTGCGATTCCCAGGAACAGGAAGATGATACAATCGCTGGTCGAACTACAACAGAATAACGTATACTAATAAACCCATGCTAGGTAATAAAACACATGTTAAGGATTGGGGATTTACAACATGTCAAAGATCATTGACATACCTTTTGACATTTAGAAGAAAAAGTGTCCACAATATTGTGCGTAGAATGATACTAATAATCATGTATACTGCCAGTGATAAACCTATGCTAGGTAATAAGCCCACCCCCTTGTCATACCCATTTTACAGGTGAGAGATTTCTGGGTCAAGGACATAAATAGAAATCTATTAATAGATATGTGCAAGTAAAGATGCTCACTCTTGCACGTCCAATATAGAAACTAGGTATAGTGCCCATAAGGCATGAACGCCCCAGAACCCATGCAAATTAGTAAACTGTTGAACATTTTCTATAAATAGTAATGATGACCTTGACCTTGATACCCTGAAATATGGAATTATCTAATACATTCTACCCAATTACCCCTAAAGTCACATTTGAACATTTACCAAATCAAAGATTGGACCAGTCTAATTAAAATATGTAGGGGTGAATGAGATAAGAAATAAAATCACTCGAGTGATGACACTGAGCTAATTGACAATTTATTTAAATAGTATATTGTACTATAATTGTGCCCTCAATATCTGACCTGTAGAGACGTGAGGTACATTTCATGGGTTGGAAGTGCTGTAATTATCACCGATTTAACTACAGATCATTTTTTGTTGAATTCCCCCCCCAATCATTGTGCATGTAACTTTGGTACATACCAACTGTTGCCGATGTTTTGCACTTTCATTGCACTTCTTGGTCGAAATTTATAACCCTTTAACACATGGCCCAGGGGCCCGAGAATATTTTTCATGGTGCAATTAATTAGTGTTTGGGACAGGGTTTTAAGTCTGTTTGCCAAAAACATCGATAGTACACAGACTAATCTAGAAGAACAAAACTGTGTCTGAATTTATATCTAATAGTATTGTTTTATAGAGTGGTACAGTCGGTAAAATTGGAAAATGTTCAGCCAAACTAAATTGCCTGTTAATTAAGATGGTGGTTAGGATGGTTGGCTAGCTAGCTGATACAATTGTAACTTGATTTTTGGAGGCAATTTTGGACTGTACATACACACAAAATTACGAAACTTAAAAACTTGGCCAGACTATGATAGAAGGACATCTGTAGGAAGATTGGAGTCAATAGATATATGAGGTTTGAAAATAAATCAAAAACATCTCAGTCAGCCAGAGCCAAGGGCACCATTTAAAATCGATCCTAAAGCTCTTTGACGAGACTACATAAGGAGCGTTAGGAGCAACTTTCACATTTTTCCTGTTCATGTACACAAGAGTTCAGTATGCTGCCCAATCTCTGTAGGTTTGTTTTGCACTTAATAGCACTTCTTCATTCATGGTTTTAGTGATTTTAAAACGAAGGTTTGGTTGAACATTTTACAGAAATTCAAGCACTTATTGACCTTTCGGTAAAGGTCACAATGTCCTAATTACAGCTACTCTGCACACCTCCAATTTCAGCAAGACATTAATCCTTAATTTGTAAAGAAAATTAATCATTTATTAATCTTAGAAATAGAGATGAAGGTCACAATGCATGACCCAGTTAAAGCACACGTACAGCATGCCCCCTGTTGGTGATACAAATATACACCATTCCTTGCCAACTTGCCAACTTTTGAAAATTTCCATTGGGCAGTTTACACAAATACATAAAATGAAAATTTCTGTATTCACCCTAGGGAGAAAAAGAATTTTTTTACAAGGCATTTTCTTAGTTGTTCTTGTAGATAAAATCGTTAGATCATAGAAAATAGAAATAGTTTAACAGACATTGGTTGAAAATACTCAATTTTTGGGCCCAAAACCAGGAGTCTCCCTCCAAAATAGGCATCTTTATCAGCTTAGGATTTATTGCAAGCACATTTTACTATAGCGGGAAGGAACAAGAACCAGTAAAAACAATATGTCTCCTTCATACTACAGAGGACTAATTGATTTTGAATTTCTATTATGTTAACAAAGTTTTGACAACTGATCATGAACTAATTATAACCATTTGAGTACATATTTCGAGTTATTGTAAAATGTGTTTTTCATTCTTATCTGTAAAATGTTAAAAGAACAGAAGAAACCCTACCTCTGCATCTTGCTGAAGTACTTGATGGTGGTATGTGACTTCTGTGAGATGTTGTGGAAGGCATATTGAGCCTGGACCAGGCCACACCCTATGATGCTACAACATACAATGTCAAGGTTATTACAGGAGCAGGTCACACCCTATAATGCTACAACATACAATGTCAAGGTCATTACAGGACCAGATCGCACCCTATGATGCTACAACATACAATGTCAAGGGCATTACAAGGGCAGGCCACACCCTATGATGCTACAACATACAATGTCAAGTTCATTACAGGAGCAGGTCACACCCTATGATGCTACAACATACAATGTCAAGTTCATTACAGGAGCAGGTCACACCCTATGATGCTACAACATACAATGTCAAGGGCATTACAAGGGCAGGCCACACCCTATGATGCTACAACATACAATGTCAAGTTCATTACAGGAGCAGGTCACACCCTATGATGCTACAACATACAATGTCAAGGTTATTACAGGAGCAGGTCACACCCTATAATGCTACAACATTCAATGTCAAGGTCATTACAGGGGCAGGCCACATCCTATGATGATGCAAAGTACAATATCAAGGTCAACATATCAAGGTCATTACAGGGGCAGGCCACACCCTAAGATGCTACAACATACAATGTCAAGGTCATTACAGGGGCAGGCCACATCCTATGATGCTGCAAAGTACAATATCAAGGTCAACATATCAAGGTCATTACAGGGGCAGGCCACACCCTAAGATGCTACAACATACAATGTCAAGGTCATTACAGGAGCAGGCCACACCCTATAATGCTACAACATACAATGTCAAGGTCATTACAGGAGCAGGCCACATCCTATGATGCTTCAACATAAAATTTCAAGGTCAACTTCTCAAAAGTCATTACTGGGCAGGCCACATGTCAACGCCATAACTAGGTAAAAACATGATGCTTCAAAGTACAGTACAATGTCAAGGTCAACAAATCAAGGTCATTACAGGGGCAGGTCACACCCTATGATGCTGCAACATACAATGTCAAGGTCAACATATCAAGGTCATTACAGGGGCAGGTCACACCCAATGATGCTGCAAAGTACAATATCAAGGTTAACATATGAAGGTCATTACAGGGACAGGTCACACCCTATGATGCTGTAAAGTACAATGTCAAGGTCAACATATCAAGGTCATTACAGGGGCAGGTCACACCCTATAATGCTGTAACTTACAATGTCAAGGTCAACATGTCAAGGTCATTACAGGGGCAGGAGGTCACAGTAGCCTTTAATGCTGTAACTTACAATATCAAGGTCAACTTCTCAAAAGTCATTATGGGGCAGGCCACATGTCAAGGCCATTACTAGGTCAAAACACATCCTGTGATGCTGCAACATACAATGTCAAGGTCATTACAGGGGCAGGCCACACCTTGTAACACTGTACCATACAATGTCAAAATCAACTACTCTAGGTCATTTCTGGATAAGACCACACCATATAATGCTGTAACCTACAATCTTTCAAGGTCATTGCTTGGTTAGACCACACCTTAATGTTACAGAAAGTTAAGGCTAAAATGTCAAGGTCATTATTTGGTCACAAAACATCCTTTATTGAGTTACTGTAACATACAAATGGAGATAAAAAATCTCCACATATTTTTGGACAAGAGCATACTCAATAATACTCTAACACACATGTTCAAAGTCAACAACCCAAGGTTATTACTTGGTAAGATCATGTGATACATCCTCATTCTCAAATCAAAACCTCTGGTATTTCCAACAGAAGGAAATAACTAGAGAACTTCTAAACTGTCTCCTTTAAAGACCTGTATTGCATATTGAGAGCAGAACTGGTGGATAATCTGACAAAAACCTGACAGCTCTCTAGGTCCTGATAGATTCGGGCTTTGTTGGAGATGCTGCAGATTTCATGGCAATGTTGTCGGCAGTATTGTAAAATGTTTCACTAAAATTTGGAGCAATAACAAAGGAGTGGAAAAAGTCTAAACTTAATGTGCATCATCCACAATACATGAGAAAAATTGGAACAACAGAGCCATCACAGATGGTCTTGGTGAGTGTATCAATTATGAAGCAAAAGAGTTACATTTGGCGAGGCATTACATATTTGTTTTCCGGACATTGTCCTTTACTATACAGGTCCTTAAGGTACTAGGCCAATGGTACCATGCTTTAAATTAAGGTTTATTACAGATTATCTTTACATGGACTTTCAAAAACCTGTTCATACCTTTCCCAATGAAAGATTATATTCAGTAAAATGTCTTCATATGGTATAAATGATTAACTAGATGGCAAGCTTCATTTCAAACGGAGTATAAAAGGGTTCTCTTGAAGTTTGATTGTAGTAACATCAGAGGTATACCCCAAGGATCTGTCCTGGAACCTGTCCTATTTTGTTTGCACTTAACTTAAATGATCTTCAAGATACTATCAACATCATCAGCTACGTTTTAGCTATCAATATAGAAATGTACGAGCGACATGTATGTCTGAAGATAAACTTGTTCTCCTAAGGGAAAAGGAAAGACACTCTGAGTGGAGCAACAAATGGAATTTGAGATTACATCCTGGAAAATGTAAATTCAATACACATTGGTGAGACATAGGGGGAAAAAGTATATCACAATGATCAAGCACCAGAAGAGGTTTGCCATGAGATGAGGATCTTGGGGTGACTGTAGAAATCAACCTTACACATAGGGAAAACACGTATATTACAATGATGAAGCAGTAGAAGAGATTAGGATCTTGGAGTGATTGTATAAATCAACCTAACACATAGGGAAAACATGTATATTACAATGATGAAGCAGTAGAACAGATTAGGATCTTGGAGTGACTGTAACACATAGGTAAAACAAGTATAATACAATGATGAAGCACCAGAAGAGGTTTACCATGAGATTAGGATCTTGGGGTGACAGTAGAAATCAACCTAACGCATAGGGAAAACAAGTATAATACAATGATGAAGCACTAGAAGAGGTTAGGATCTTGGAGTGACTGTAACACATAGGGAAAACAAGTATAATACAATGATGAAGCACCAGAAGAGGTTTACCATGAGATTAGGATCTTGGGGTGACAGTAGAAATCAACCTAACACATAGGGAAAACAAGTATAATACAATGATGAAGCACTAGAAGAGGTTTGCCATGAGATTAGGATCTTGGAGTGACTGTAACACATAGGGAAAACAAGTATAATACAATGATGAAGCACTAGAAGAGGTTTGCCATGAGGTTAGGATCTTGGAGTGACTGTAACACATAGGGAAAACAAGTATAATACAATGGTGAAGCACTAGAAGCGGTTAGGATCTTGGAGTGACTGTAGAAATCAACCTAACGCAGAAGGAAAACAAGTATAATACAATGATGAAGCACTAGAAGAGGTTTGCCATGAGATTAGGATCTTGGAGTGACTGTAGAAATCAACCTAACGCATAAGGAAAACAAGTATAATACAATGATGAAGCACTAGAAGAGGTTTACCATGAGATGAGGATCTTGGGGTGACTGTAGAAATCAACCTAACGCATAGGGAAAACAAGTATAATACAATGATGAAGCACCAGAAGAGGTTTACCATGAGATTAGGATCTTGGGGTGACAGTAGAAATCAACCTAACGCATAGGGAAAACAAGTATAATACAATGATGAAGCACTAGAAGAGGTTTACCATGAGGTGAGGATCTTGGAGTGACTGTAGAAATCAACCTTACAACTGAAGACAAAAGAAGCACACAGCTTAAAATGGGAAATTCAATGTTCCCTGTCATATATTAGAATAATTTAAATGAACACATTTTCTATTTTTATATAAAATTCTTGTTAACAGGTAATCATTAAGAGTATACAGACATGTAAGAGTACTATGTCAGGTTTGATATACTGACAGTAACAGGTCCAAAACAGAGCAACCAAACGAAAATAACCTGGATTTTAGGATCTGTGATATCTGTAGCAGCTTAGAAGACTGAATAATCTACTTTCAGCAACAGATGTGCAAATTGTAGGGTAACACGTCAAATTGTCCTAAAATGTAGAAAAGCTTACAGACATGGTACCAGCTAGGGACATTAAGAAATACTTAATCCACAAACATTGGAAACATTTCATTTTACTTCAAATGCAGCAAATTCATGCGGTTTTAGAACCATCAATAAATACATTTATAAACAGACTCAATAATGCTGGATTAATCTGAGGAACTAAAACAGCTAACAAATGATAATGTTAAAGAAGTGATGTCTAAAATTAGACTTTTATTTAGATAGTGTTTACGTGACTTTTGAAAACATGGTTGAGTCCAGTGTAGAGGATCACATCTAATCTGTATTGGAAAAAACCTTTTATAACTACAATTTTAGTATTGTCATACTTCCCGACATTTTTAACATGAAGTAAAGCTGGATACCTGATAATTCCGGAGAAGTGGAAGAGCTCAGCTATCAGATAGGAGATGTAAGCCAGTACAAACACAGCCAACGGCTCTACAACTGGAAAAGTCAAAACAAACGTTCATTACTGTGGATATAAGGAACACCTACCTATATTGTAGATATAAGGAACACCTACCTATATTGTAGATATAAGGAACACCTACCTATATTGTAGATAAATGACCCCAGTAAAGCTTACATAGGATAAAGTGGAGCCTCGAGGAACAGGATACCTACAGAACTAAATAGGACCAAAAGTGAAATGACTGCGCTGTCAACTTAACATCCTTTTCTTTAACCTTTCAACCTAATTTTAATGAGTCAATCATTTCAGAAATTGAATAATAACTCAAATTTATTTATGAATTTCTAAGGGTTGCATTGATATTGTCCACATTTGGTACATTTCAACTTCAATTTTTCAAATTTATGATAGAATTTTAAGGAAAACAATTCAAATGCTTATTTTATCTCATGACAGATACGACACTGAACTTAAAAAAAAAGATTAAAATATTTTTGAGTGCAAAGCTTTCAAATTTATTTGAATCCAATCGAACGTCAATAGAGTAGAGAATAGAAATATAGTATTCAAAGATTTAATAGAATTTATGGTTCAATTTTAATTTTAATAATGAATGACATATTTACCTCGGACATGAACAGTGTACTTGGTGACGATGGCAGTCAGGACTCCACACATGATTCCAATACAAAGACCTCCGAGACTGACCACAAAAAAGGCTGCCAACCCTAGGAAAACCTGAAACAGAGTACTAATTAAGTCATAGCAAAAGGCATACAGGGCCTGCTTGTCTGAAATAACTCATAGCAAAAGGCATACAGGGCCTGCTTGTCTGAAATAACTCATAGCAAAAGGCATACAGGGCCTGCTTGTCTGAAATAACTCAATGAAAGAGCCCTAAAAGGCTTAACGAGGTCATACACGAGACACATATGGCATGCATAATGCCCAAACTAACTAGGTAAAAGCAAGAGGCACATTGATTGCACTTTGACATAACATTATGAGCCTCAAGATAAGAATGAGTATAGAAGTCAATCCCAACAAACTTGGGATAAGTTGAGTTTTATTTATAAGGAAACGCTACTGGTGTTCGCCTGAACATCATGTTTCATATGTAATAAAACTCAACTTATCCCGAGCGTGTTGCGATAGACTTCTATACTTATTTTTCCCTATTCTTCGATTGCCCTGCATACCGGGTGGTATCCAAGCAAGGGTTAAACAGAACCAACCGAACCTAAATAAGAGAAACAGCGTAGGCTCTATCCCTGGAACTAAGATAAGAATGAAACTTGACACTACACACAACTTTGGTATAACATTGAGCTCTGATCTTTTGTTGAAACATTTGGTAGCGATTAAGAGAACAGTTGCTGGAAGTTTAGATAACAGATGATCGGCGGGACATTTAAGTTTGGACCAAAGGTTTAACCAAAACACCTGTTACTGACATCACTCAAAAAACATTCGTAAACTATACATGATTTTTATCAAACTTTATGGAGCATTCATCTGATATTGCATTGACTGCCATATAAAACCATACCTGATCCGAAGTTACTGAGGGCATCGTATTGAACTCTTTCATTGTGTTATACAGTACAACTGTGACAGCATCTGTAATGAAAGAGGAGAAACATTGAGTTACATCATCTATAACACAGTAAAACTAGTAAACAGATTTACATAACCAGTGACATTACAATACACTAACCTTGATATTACAAAGGGTGGCTGGATCAATGCGTCATTTTGTCTATTTATAACATCTATACCTGTACATACACTTACACTGTAGTGGAATAGATAGCAATGTTATTGCCAACTTGTGCATATTTTATACCTTAGTGTAATTGCTTTACAAGTCCATTGTCTGTTGATGGTGACATGGATTACATATCGTTCTAGTCATCAAAACATCACATATAGACGTTCCACAGGTTCTACAATTGTACTTATAAGACTATATGCAATCTTACCAACCTGAAAAATATTTAAAACACAAGAGAAATCATTTTAAAGTGATTATCAGGCTTTATGTGGGTGGGTGAGACAGAGAGATGGACCACTGCTGTATCGTTACTATACAACTCCCACAATTTCAACGGGATATATGACAATCTACACTATCACACAGAACACTCTAACAGAGACCTTCCTCGGGCATGTGCACAATGACACTGCTGTCTGTAGCCTCAGACAAAAAATGCAGAAGTGTTTTTCCTACTCGACTTTTAGCCTTTTATGTCATCAGTGGTCATAATATACTTTTCAAACACCGATATTAAACTGAAGGGGATGACTGGTGATGTGCAGTGCTGGATGTAGCCCTACTGTGAGTGAGATTTGTTGCTGGATGTAGCCCGACTGTGATTGAGATTTGTTGCTGGATGTAGCCCTACTGTGATTGATATTTGTTGCTGGATGTAGCCCTACTGTGATTGAGATTTGTTGCTAGATGTAGCCCTACTGTGAGTGAGATTTGTTGCTGGATGTAGCCCGACTGTGATTGAGATTTGTTGCTGGATGTAGCCCTCCTGTGAGTGAGATTTGTTGCTGGATGTAGCCCTGCTGTGAGTGAGATTTGTTGCTGGATGTAGCCCTACTGTGATTGAGATTTGTTGCTGGATGTAGCCCTACTGTGAGTGAGATTTGTTGCTGTATGTAGCCCTACTGTGATTGATATTTGTTGCTGGATGTCGCCCTACTGTGAGTGAGATTTGTTGCTGGATGTAGCCCGGCTGTGAGTGAGAGATGACTTGTCATGTGCAGTGCTGGATGTAGCCCGGCTGTGAGTGAGAGATGACTGGCGATGTGCAGTGCTGGATGTAGCCCTGCCGTGAGTGAGATTTGTTGCTTGATGTAGCCCTACTGTGATTGAGATTTGTTGCTGGATGTAGCCCTGCTGTGAGTGAGAGATGACTGGTGATGTTCAGTGCTGGATGTAGCCCTGCTGTGAGTGAGAGAAGAGATGACTGGTGATGTGCAGTGCTGGATGTAGCCCTGCTGTGAGTGAGAGATGACTTGTGATGTGCAGTGCTGGATGTAGCCCTGCTGTGAGTGAGAGATGAGTGGTGATGTGCAGTGCTGGATGTAGCCCTACTGTGAGTGAGAGATGACTGGTGATGTGCAGTGCTGGATGTAGCCCTACTGTGAGTGAGAGATAACAGTGTGTTGTAATGGTGAAGACCACCACTGTGACTATAAACCCCTTAGAGTTGGGGTTCCTGTTGGGTCAGAGCAGCACAGATAATTACCTCAAAGTTAAATTTCCACATAAGTACCAGTAAAAAAGGTGTGCATTATTGGTCACTGTATTAGCAGATAATATTCCGGCCAGTATGGAATCTATGTTTCATTTAAACTTAATATACCTATGCACAATGCCATTTACTGTAGGTGGCAGAATTTTCTTGACTATGAAACCAAACAAGCAAGTTCTGAAAACAAAATCCAAAATGGCAAATATGTGGAATTTTGTTTTAAGCATTAAGGTATATTGATTATTTAGCAGGCACATTTTTTTTAAATTGAACTGCCAACTTCTTCCAGATGGCATTTATTAGCAATATGGATGCTAACTGGAAAAAGGCAATTTTAACATCCACACCTGTCAATGAATTTGCCTTAGTCAAGTGAACATTCATATTGCCTATGAATGCCAACTTTATGCTAAATTGTATTCAATTTTGTAGGTTTATTCCAAGATGTAATCTTCGTTCTACTTGCTGGTATACTTCTTCTTCTAAATGGTACTGACCAACTTCAACAATTTGAAGATAAAATGTCAGACGAGGAGTGAAACATGGAAAGAGATTGTTTTTAAAAGATACGAGATGGTCTAATTTGCGTTTGAAAGGTGACGTTAGAGGGCTGATTTAAATAATTCCATTGTGGGGCTCGAAATAATGTCAGGTGGGAGTTTATTCCACTCGGGTATAGTTCGAGGGAAGAATGATGCCTTTCTGGTCTGGGTTTTTGAGTGGGGAATTTGATACGAAAACTGGTGGTTTGTTCGGGATTTTCAAACTGTAGGGATTAATCTGTCTGATTTTACGATAGCGACTTTCTGGTTTACAATGTTATGAAGCATGGTCATAGATGTTAATCAATCAGGACTTCTTCACAAGCTGTCATCTAGGTATACCATTCTGTATAGAAAACTAACGTCACAATATGTACTTTGTATTATCAGCTATTGAGTCTTCATACTGACACTGATTAGATTAATTTCCCCTACTGTCGTTTTCCCCGTCAACCGGACGTGTCCAAAACAAAGACACGGCGCTCTCATTGTAGGTCAGATTAGAGTTGTCTGCAAACATCTTGCTTTTAATCCAATCAGAGGCGACACGGCCTGGTACACGGCGCCCTGCACACGTCAGCCGTGGATGACAGGAATTGTCAACCAAAGGCACTCAAAACTGTTCAACAAACACCGCAACAAGCACTGCATGAGCTGTTCTGTCCCAATTACATTATACGTCTCCATGCTGGATTCCGAGACGGACACTGTTGATAAAATTATACGCGTTGTCCCATGCTCGGGAATGAAACTGACAGACATTCTAAGGAACACTGTTCAGATTTATACACCATTAAGGGGAAGATCTGCTGTACCCGTGATGTATTGAGGTATATCCAGCTATGAAAAACAGTTTCTCAAGATAGAAGTTCGTGGACAAGACATAGTCATTGTTTTACAGAAGAAAGCTTGTAAAGCAAAGATGATCTGAGGAAATATGCTTTAAGACAGAGAGTTGAGACAAGAAATTGAATCAGATTTGATCCTTCCATGTTCAAATGGCTTATTAGATTTGGTCTAACAGTTTATCAGTCTACAACAGCATAAACAAATCATGAGCCTGACCTATAGAGAAAGAGACAGATGGAATACAACCGTGTGTCGTATATCAATATCATGCCAGCTTGAGAGGTCATATGTTTTCCAAATGCCGACATGTTGAACAAATCTCCAAACAAACCGTTGTGTTATCAGTTTTGAAGAAAATGATAAAATTATGTTGCCACTATCCCTGACAGAGGAATGGATGGACAGAGGGATAGACAGATGGATGGACAGATGGATGGACAGATGGATGGACAGAGGGATGGACAGAGGGATAGACAGATGGATGGACAGAGGGATAGACAGATGGATGGGCAAATGGATAGACAGAGGGATAGATAGATGGATGGACAGAGGTATAGACAGATGGATGGGCAAAGGGATAGACAGATGGATGGACAGAGGGATAGACAGAGGGATAGACAGATGGATGGACAGAGGGATAGACAGATGGATGGACAGAGGGATAGCCAGATGGATGGACAAAGGGATAGACAGATGGATGGGCAAAGGGATAGACAGATGGATGGACAGAGGGATAGACAGATGGATGGACAGATGGATGGACAGAGGGATAGACAGATGGATGGGCAAAGGGATAGACAGATGGACGGACAGAGGGATAGACAGGTGGATTAACAAATGGATGGGCAAAGGGATGGACAGATGGATAGACAGAGGGATAGACAGAGGGATGGACAGATGGATAGACAGATGGATGGACAGAGGGATATACAGATGGAGGGACAGATGGATAGACCGATGGATGGACAGAGGGATAGACAGATGGAGAGACAGATGTATGGACAGAGGAATAGACAGAGGGATGGACAGAGGGATAGACAGATGGATTGACAGAGGGATAGACAGAGGGATAGACAGAGGGATGGACAGATGGATAGACAGAGGGATAGACAGAGGGATAGACAGATTGATGGACAGAGGGATAGACAGATGGATGGACCGATGGATGGACAGAGGGATAGACAGATGGATCGACAGAGGGATAGACAGAGGGATAGACAGATGGATAGACAGAGGGATAGACAGATGGATGGGCAAAGGGATAGACAGATGGATGGACAGAGGGATAGGCAAAGGGATAGACAGATGGATAGACAGATGGATAGACAGATGGATGGACAGAGGGATAGACAGATGGATGGACAGAGGGATAGACAGAGGGATAGACAGAGGGATAGACAGATGGACAGACAGATGTATGGACAGAGGAATAGACAGAGGGATGGACAGAGGGATAGACAGAGGGATAGACAGATGGATGGACAGATGGATGGACAGAGGGATAGACAGATGGATAGACAGAGGAATAGACAGATGGATGGACAGAGGGATAGACAGGGATAGACAGATGGATGGACATAGGGATAGACAGAGGGATAGACAGATGTATGGACAGAGGGATAGACAGATGGATGGACAGAGGGATAGACAGATGGATGGACAGAGGGATAGACAGAGGGATAGACAGGGGTAGACAGGTGGATTAACAGAGGGATAGACAGATGGATGGGCAAAGGGATAGACAGATGGATGGACAGAGGGATAGACAGGGATAGACAGATGGATGGACAGATGGATAGACAGATGGATGGACAGAGGAATAGACAGATGGATGGACAGAGGGATAGACAGGGATAGACAGATGGATGGACAGATGGATGGACAGAGGGATAGACAGAGGGATAGACAGAGGGATAGACAGAGGGATGGACAGAGGGATAGACAGATGGATGGACAGAGGGATAGACAGATGGATGGACAGAGGGATAGACAGATGGATGGACAGAGGGATAGACAGATGGATGGACAGAGGGATTGACAGATTGATGGACAGAGGGATAGACAGATGGATGGACAGAGGGATGGACAGATGGATGGACAGAGGAATGGACAGAGGGATAGACAGATGGATGGATAGAGGGATAGACAGAGTGATATACAGATGGATGGACAGAGGGATAGACAGATGGATGGACGGAGGGATAGACAGATGGATTGACAGAGGAATAGACAGATTGATGGACAGAGGGATAGACAAATGGATGGACAGAGGGATAGACAGATGGATGGGCAAAGGGATAGACAGATGGATGGACAGATGAATGGACAGATGGATAGACAGATGGATGGACAGAGGGATGGATGGACAGAGGGATAGACAGGTGAACGGACAGATGGAGGGCATTACCATATCTACCACCTGGGTTGTGGAGGGGATAAAAAATAAACACTTCTTCAGAAACTATTGATATACATGTACAAGACACTGACAAATCAGAAAGAACATATATGTCCGATAACTGCAAAGCTTCCATTCCACGACAGTGATTGTCTTCAATCTGTACTAATCTTATTCTAATTGTATTCTGTACTTTGCATTCTTGGCCTTTTTACTTAAAGGTGAAGGTTAAAATGACCAAAATACTGCACAGCGCACACATGTGGGTGATGCAGATATCCTTAAAGTTTCAAGCAAAATATTTTCATTGGCTTAAAGGCTACAGCCACAGGAATTTTGCACTTCTCTGACCTTTGACCTATAGGTGAAAGTCACTGAGACTTATAAGAATATACTGCTCACATTTTTGGGTTGTACAGATAAATTTCAGGCTTCATCAAAACATCATTAACAGTACAATTGTGATGGCCGAACAAGATCTCACTGGCAATTTTGCATACATCTCATCTTTGATTTTAAAATCAAAGCCACAGTCAGAACCTCATAAGAGCATATTACCCACCTTCAATTGGTAATACAGTATGGTACCTTTTGTTTCATAAAGATATCCTTCATGGTTTTAGAAGTTATGGCCCGGACATTATAGTACTAGAATATTTGAACTATTTGATCTCTGACCTTGAGATAAAGGTCATATTGACCTAATTACAGTGCATTGCACATGTCTTTGAGAGTGATGCAGGTAGACTTCAAGTTCATTCCCGACAACCATACAGTGGATAACCCTATCTCTCAGGGGAGACATAATTCGCCGAGCCTCGAGGAGTTTCCTACGCCCTGAAAATCCCTCTGGAGCTGCCGATCACTAGGCAAAGGGACAACTCTAAATATAGTTTTCTCTTATATTTCTGTAAATATGGATCTTTCTTATCAACTAATTAAATGCCATGTGCTCCAATGACTTTTATTCAAGTTTAATTTGAATCAAAGGAAATCAGTACACTAAAATAGGAAGTTAATTAAAAATACTATTTTTTTCAGTCCCGAGTCAGATATTGTAAATGTTAAGGGTGCATGCACAAAGTGATGTTTCCCTATCCCCCATCACCTCCCATGCCTTTGTCCCCTTTTTATGTTTCTTATTATTCTTTACACCCTTTTTTGACCTAATCAAAGGATAACATTTTGGGCTAGCTGATTATTTTAAGATTTCTTTGATGACACATTTCAGCTCTTTGGCAAAACGATGATTCTACAAAAATTTGTGGAATTTTCAGATATTTGGCAATGCATGTATGTTATAACTAATCATGCCCTTATTTCTAGATTTAATTTAGTATCAATTAATTCTGATTGGGATGTACAGCAGTACTTGGAGTGGTCACTAATGTCGCCGCTGGTGGTGGTTCTAAGTGGACCCTCCTTTGTCTACAATATAACGACCCGTCGGAAGAGTCCAATATTTATCACCTGATTTGTCCCAGTAAAAGATTAACCCTATGGTATGAGACGTGGGTATTACTAAATAACGTTTTTCTTGTCTTGTGAATCCGGAGAAGATTGACAAACAACAGGAATTTCTGTTTCATTTCCCTGGGTGAAATGAGCATCCCACAGTGTCTGTAAGTCTCGCCACCTTAGGGATACAATTATTCTGATAGTACACGCTGGACGCACGACATGATTGAATGCAAGCTTTAAGTAGACACGGATCAGGTCAGCGGCACACGATAGCTGTCAGGAGGTTGTGGAGTAGGGATAGTCTTACTCTCCGAGGTGACAGATATACCAAGGACAAGAGAGACACACACATCTATCTTTTCAGACCTGATATCCCTAAACAAAAATTGACCCTAGTCTTAATTTGTCAATAAATGGGTTTTGCCCATTGTGATTTATATAATTATTTCCATCTTATAATTCGTATTTTTAACAACGTTTCTTTCCACATTTGTTAAAAGGAATTATCAATTTTAAGCAAATTAATGTGAGCCTGCATCACTCACCCCTTCAATGTTAAGATGTTTGCAAACACATTTTACATCTGTGACATTCAAAGTGGGTTAAAGTATAATTATTTATACAAACTTGATAGAAAGCAAGAAAACAATACAGTTCAAATGCCATTCTCCTACAAAATAAAGGTTTTCTGTTGTTAGATTTTTACTTATTTTATTCCACATGCACAGACTTTCAACTTGGTTGAGGTCATTCATTTGAACGACAGGCTTAATGTTATAACTGTACAATGTTGTTTCAGGTGGGTTTTTTTAATACCTTTTAATCCTGTAGCCAAGGTAACCCTATAGGATGGTCAGTGTCATTTATTTGGACACACTTGAAAGTTTCTAACACCAACATTGAGTTACAGAAGCAATATCATTACTCTACCCCGGCAACATAGATGTTAATGTTATAACTGTACAATGTGTGTTTCAGTTTGTTTATTTAATACCTTTTAATCCTGTAGCCAAGGAAACCCTATATGATGGTCAGCGTCATTTATTTGGACACACTTGAATGTTTCTAACACCAACATGGAGTTACAGAAGCAATATCATTACTCTACCCCGACAACATAGAAGATAGGTTAGGGTAATTTATTCAAACCACGTTAACAGCTCTTTGTTACAAACAGTTAAATATTGTTTCTTTAACATTTATGGATCTTCAGAACAGGTCACTTTAATATTTTCACATTTTTTACCCCTGTGACCTTGAAAATAGGTCAAGGTTATTCATTTTAACTAACTCAAATCACCACATAAAAGATATTGAAAATACTTTCCTACCCAACAAAATATTTGATTTCAGTGGTTTTATTGTAATCAGATATTTGAGAAAATATGGTACTATTGTTCTTTTTTAACTCTTTCACCCCTGAAGACACATTTGAACTCTTCCAATTCATAGGTCAGAATAGTTCATTATGAAATTTCAGGGGTGAATGAGTTAAAAAAATCACCCATTTTAAATGTCTTTCTCTGTCTAACAATCTGAGATCAAACCCTCCCACTACATCTCACCACAGAACCACAGTTTGAGACAAATCATGTACCATTTTTGTTTCACGGTTATTACATCAATATAACTATACCACAAATGTTTAGCTCCGTGTAAAAGAGGAATTGTTTTGAAATTCAGACATTAGACACAAGATAGGATCACTGTTTTTGTCAGCAGTCCAGTCTATTTCAATGAAAGTAAATGAGCAAGAGTGATGTCAGCCGAAGGGTTTAAAACTCAAATTCAATCAACTTCAATTACAAATTCATCAACAACAGTTTATCATTTAAATTGATTAAAATCAATCAAGTTGGAGAGCTATGACAACTTTTTAATGTTTTTATTAAATAAAGAAAGTCGCAGATAATAGTATTATTTTGGTAAAGAATTAATATGAACGCATAGAGATAGTAGTTATTTCAAATTTAACAAAGTGGTTTATAATCATTAAAAAACTTCCATAACAGATCTGAAATCTGGCAATGTCTTTTTATTGATTTTCTTTAGTTATTACCAATCAATTTGACTGTTATTTGATTTATGTTTTTATTGTACAAATGAAATTATTTAACAGTACAGCACTATCGTAAAGGCCAAAACAAATAAATTGTGCAATTCAGGTTTTACTTTTTTACAGAAGTAATTCCTAGAGAGTGCCAGTGTTTTCCCCGGGTGTTAGAAACAAATTGGGGCATTGTTAGTGTGATATAGGCAGAACATAGAAATGTATAGAGGTATATGTACGCACTCCCCCTTCTGTAGAAATCACTGAGGGCATGTGCCTCGATCCTGCCTCCAATGGCAGCCATTTTGATTTTTAGATTTGGATCTAAATCAAACTTTGCGGGTAATTGATATTAAAGGCATTTGTATAAATTTCATAAAAAAATCAAAGTATTTCTTCAAAGATTATCGCACAGAATAAATAAAACTTTTCACAAAATCTATGATAGTGTGATCAAAAACTGTTTAAGACCATATAGAGTGATGAGACCATGAAATATGGACCTATCTCAGGTATTCTCGTATGACCTTTGTGAAACTTTTTGATCAAAATATGCTAAGAAATAAAATTACTATTGAATTTCACAGGTGAGATGGAATTAAGTTCTTACCGTTCAGTAACGATTCTCCAAACACTAAAAAATACAGGACATTGTTGACTCCTATTTCCTGAAATATAGCCAGCACCTGTAACAGAAATAAATGTCTGTATAAGTCCGATCAATATTACAATATGATTACTGTGACAATGTCTTTTATCTATTTCTAAACATTTTATTTCAGGTTGGTAAGTATGGATTGTGAAAAGATTCATGTAGCACAACCAATAAGTGTTTATATGTGACGTCATTTGTCTGATGAAGCTTCATCAACAATTAGTTGTTATATATGTACCGAAACGACTCGATTCAGCTATGCTTTGTTTAATACTTGGTCAAGAATAATGTCATTTATCCTTTTATTGCTACCTTATCTGGCCTATTAGGACCTTATTAGAGAAAGATGTAGACATTTCAGACAAAAGCACCTGTCTAAGTTCGTAACTCATCACCTTAATAAGTATTTCAATTACAAGAGGCCCAATGGGCCTGCATCGCTCACCTCGTATTAATCTCACAATTGTAACCTTAAAAGTGAACTAAAATAAAGCTACAGGCAAAATATCAGTGTCTTGACTTCAGAAGGATCACATTTGACCCCTGTGACCTTGAAAGTCAAATATGGACATTTAAAGTTGAACAAACTTCATAGCCCTTCCTACCAGAATGCAACTTGCCAAATATCACCACCTTATACCTTTTGTTTATTGATAAGATGACTTTTAAAGATTTATGCACTGTGGACCAGATATGACCATGAAAGTGTGTCAAGGTCAATTCAGAAGAAGTTATTTAAAGATTTCAACATATTTGACCCCTGTGACCTTGAATATGGGCAAAAGTCAATAATTTGAACACACTTTGTAGCCCTTCATGCCAACATCCTTCTGGCCAAATATCATCGCCCTGGACATTTTGGTTATACAAAAGAGGTCAATTAAAGGTTTTCAAGACAATTGACCCCTTTGACCTTGAACATAAGTGAAGGTCATTTGTTTGAACAAAGTTGGTAGTGCTTCATCCCAGCATGATATTGGCCAAATATCATCATCATAGGCCTTCTGGTTATTCAGAAGTTATTTAAAGATTTCAACATATTTGACCCCTGTGACCTTGAATATAGGCGAAGGTCATTCATTTGAACAAATTTGGTAGCCCTTCATCCAAGCATGTTACTTGCCAAATATCATCACCCTAGGCCTTTCGGTTATTCAGGAGAAGTCGTTTAAAGTTTTTAAACATATTTGACCCCTGTGACCTTGAATATAGGTCAAGGTCATTAGTTTAAACAAACTTGGTAACCCTTCCTCCCAGCATGTTACTGCCCAAATATCATCACACTAGGCCTCTTGGTTATTCAGAAGAAGTTGTTTAAAGATTAACATATTTGACCCCTGTGACCTTGAAAATGGATGAAGGTAATTTATTTGAACAAACTTGGTAGCCCTTCATCCAAGCATGCTTCTGGCCAAAATATCATGACCCTAGGCCTTTTGGTTACTGAGAAAAAGTTGTTTAAAGTAAAAAGTTGACGCCGGACGGACAACAGACGCCAGACGCCGCACCATGCCATAAGCTCACTTGGCCCTTCGTGACTCAGTATGAATGAAATCGATACACTGATTGAAAATTAAATCCTGTCGACAAAATGAAATGACAGGAACAATTTTTCCTAATCTGATTATCTCCTGTTTTTTCTTTGTAGATCATACAGTTCTATGGTATTCATATTAATGTAAAATGTAAATTAAAATAAATGAAAATGTCGACAAACAGCCTGCTTTAGTTTGATGAAAAACGTAACGTAACAAAAACTATTCTTCAACATATTGTACTGTAGAGGTGGTGTACAGGGATCCAAACTAGACCCCCTTTATTTTTGTCTAATTCCTTCCATTACATGCAGGATTAATAGGCATTGAAACATATGCAGATGGCTCAGTGAGTAAAATCTTTCTTAATAGCATGGCCTTCACTTGAATCTATTGAATCAAAATCGGAATTTGGCCAAAATCATACAAAAAAGGTATATTACATACAATGTGGCATTTAACCAAGTCCAAGGCAATTTTCATTTAAACTGGTAAACAGTAATCAGTAAGATTTAAGCATGTTGGTGGTTTTGAACTATTACTATCATTATCTTAAGGGTGCATGCTCAAAACGTATTGTGATCCACATAGACAACAATGTTTAGCTGGACCGACATTAATACATTCAAAAGCTCAACAAAGTCATCCTGTGATGTTTTTATATCTATAGAAACAAGAGGTCCAAAGGGCCTGTATCGCTCACCTGGATACCTAAGCAATCATGGCAAACTATTCTCCAAATGAGATCAAGGGAATATGCCAGACCCCAAGGCCAATCCTTGTAGCATAGCTATATTAGATTTTTCATGACCAGCAATTTTATGTATGGTTATGGGGTGGGGATCTCAACTGTTTCCAAGATTTGACTCAGAAACTAGGTCCCTAGAGTTGTGGCCAGACCCCAGGATCGATTCTAAT